TCTTTCTGATCTGCTCCACTCTTTCTATCCAGTCCACTTCCTTCGGCACCTCCATTCTCCGCCAGAACTTGGGTATCAGACCTTTTGCAGCATTTAGATAGTACCATATCCCTGAAAAAATCAGGGATATGAAAGAACTTGTATTGAAGTCAAAGGAAAACAATTTACAACAAGCCCGGTGGAAGGAAGCCCAACCGGGAACACTCACTGATGACAGCAGCATGTAAAGGAGCAGGTCTCGTCTGAGCTGACAGTGTCTGTCTTGAGGGGCAGAATGCAGCCTTGCCGGTCCGAGCCCAAGTGGGGAAATTTCGAGGAAGAGTGGCGGGTTCCTATGCTTTCCTTACTCACCTGGAACCTTTCCCTACCACTAGAACTGTCCCTGACAGATGGGAGACCTGTCTCTACCCACACGTTAAATGCGTGCCAAATCCAGGAGCCCTTAAATAGACTCTGCTTGACCCAAGATGGCCACCAGAGTCACATGGGCTGCCAGGATCCAACCGGATCGCTCCCCCAATGACCTAGGAAACCATAGAGGAACCATGTTCCTTCTGACTTCCTCTCCCTCTGTACTGCTGCTGCGGATGAGCGCCACCTACAGTGGAGAAAATAGACTGCAACTGCCCACAAGCATATTTCAGTTGTCACTGGGTGGAAGGCACATTTTTTCACTTGTTTCTTTTAGGTAAGAAGAGGATTTCGGAGCTGCCACAAGGCTTCTCACTGGTGTTTGGCTATCACAGTATTTTGGACTATATATTCCTTTGGACATTTATTGATGCAGGTATTGTTGTAAAATGTATATGGTATGTGTATATTTTATATTATTTTATTTAGGTTTGCGGGTAGCGCTACTTTATATTGGTTTTTGATGTCTGAAGCAATGACATCGGCGTGTGGACCTTCCACAGTATCCCTGCCCCTAGTGGTGTATTTTGGTTTTGTGCTGCCCTAGGCAATACAAAGATCGTCTGCCTCCACGGACGCAAAACAACACCCCCCCCTCTCCCCCTCCCGCGGAGAAAGCCTGACATTGACAAACACCCCTGCCCTCCACCTGGGAGAGCCTTCCACTAACCCCCCCCCCACGATAGAGAGAAAGACACTCATCTTCACAGCTCCAGACATCCCCGGGAATGAGAGTCAGGCTCCATATACATCATCAAGAAGCCCGCAGCCCCTCTTGGATCCCACCTGATTCCCATGGCGTGCATGTCACTTCTTCCATCCCTTCTTCTGGGGGGAGGTGCTGCCCCTGAAAAATGCTGCCCTAGGCAAGTGCCTTGTTTGCCTTGTGGTAAATATGCCCCTGCCTGCCCCTCTCACCCCTTTCAATCTCCATATTGTTTTCTATTTTTCTTGTTACCTCATCTCTTTTCTTAGTTATTATTATTTTCTTCACCCCTTTTTTTTTCCTATTGCATTATCCACTTTTATTGCTATACATTGGGGGACCTCTTCCAGTGCAGGAACCCTTGGTGTGTAGCGCCATTATACAATTCACTACTAGCTCCTTGTGTATTTATATTTGTCCCTGTGTTTGGATTGTTTCTTATTTAGAAAACTCAATAAACATTGTTATGGGGAAAAAAATGAGATTCAGGGGAATTGGATCTTACCAACTTTAGCACGACTGCAGTGTTTGCTAGATATTATCTGGCTTCTGATTTTACTCAAGCCTTCAAGAGTTGGGCTTTCCGATCTTGTGCGATGAAAGTCTTATTATTGTCGTGAATGGTACAGAAATCATTCTTCTGGGCGTGTATACAGTTTACATAGAAAACTCGGTGGAACAGGTCATGGTCTCGTGTGATAGGGCCGGAGATCCTTTGTGGTAGACCGCATACAATTCATGTGTCAGACTGGCTGACAACAAACCCCTGTGCTGCAAGGCTTGTTTACGTCCTAACAGTTCCCAGCTTAAAGAGGCCTCTCAGTATAATTCAGCGACCCCCCCATACATGCTATAATGATAGTAGAGGAACGGGCTTCCTCTCCTGACAACTGCTCAGCCTGATAAAGGTGAAGGCGGAGAACAAAACAAAACTGTTATTTTGGCCTCTCTGCTTTCTGACTTGCTGGCGAAAGAGCTGTAAATTTTATTGGGTGAAATGTTTCTTTTCTAGGCCCGGCCTGAGTCAACAATTAGCCAGATCACTGCGGGTGAGAACAGTGTGAAGTGGAAACCAATTATTTTTCTGACCTCAGATTTTTCAGCAGCTTTTTGTTTTTTTGTTTTTTTTATTTTATTTTTGAAAATGACCAGTTTAAGCCAGCGATGGATTGCAAAATGCTCAACTTTTGACCTTCCAGCACTGTCCATTGTGGGACGCAAAAAATGATTGTTTCTGGCATAGCAGTATTCAGATTTGACTTTACGTACCGTTTTTTTTTTTTTTTATTGATTGCATACTAGCACATTATGTAAACTTTACATGAAAACGAAGCCCTCCAGCGGCACACTGTCACCGCTGTAGAGGCTTCCATCTTCACACACACCCGCCCCTCACAAGACCCCCTTCTCTCTAGTTCCCTGGTCTCCTCCTCCCATGCCCGCCTCCAGGACTTCTCCAGGGTGTCACCCATCCTCTGGAACTCCCTGCCCCAACCCATCAGATTATCACACCTACTCTCCTCTCCTTTAGACGCTGTCAAGGTCCTACCTTTTCCCTGAGGTTATGTTACTCCATGTGCTGGCGTCCATCTTAGATTCTGCTGTGCATGATGGGAGTCCTTTTTATGCCTTCAGGTCTCTGAGGTCCACCCCCCAGAGGGGCGTGGCTGATGACATATAAGCCTGTGGCCCGCACATGCTCTTTGCACTTGTGTCTTGTGTCTTGTGGTTACTATTACTCTGTTCTGACTCTCGTGACTCTCCTGGTATCTGATTCGGCTTGTGACTTGACTATTCTTTGTATTCTCCTTTGATCTGACCCTCTGTTGCTGAACCCGGCTTGTGACCTGTGATTCTCGTCTGCTGTCCTGTACTGTTTTGTCCTGTTGTTGTTGACCCCGGCTTGTCTGACTCTTTTGTTTCTTCCACCAGCTACACGCCATTGGCGGCGGCCATTACCGCAGCTGAGGTGTCTCGGGGGCCGCGACCTGGTTCCTGGCTGCGTCAAGTCCATCCCCACCATCAGGGGCCCTGGTGAAGGGCAGCCTGGGACTTAGACTCCGCGCCCTGAGGGACTTTGGTCTGTGGGTGGTGGTTGTCGTCAGTCAGTGCGTTACATTGTTAGGCCTGCCTGTCCGTTCCTCGGCTCCTGCCCTGACAGACGCACCCTGAAAACCCATCTCTTCAGGGAAGCCTACCCCACCCCCTGCTAACTTGCCAACCTCCTCCACTCTTCCTACCACCCCATCCACCACAGCTATCTCCTCCTGTACCACCATCCCCTCCCTCCTAGATTGTAAGCTCGAAAGAGCAGGGCCCTCAATCCCCTCATGTTTTGCATTGTATTGGTATTGTTCTGTCACATGTTCTGTCCCCCTTTGTAATGTACAGCGCTGAGCGAACTATTGGCGCTTTATAAATACTGTATAATAATAATAATCTTCCTTCCGGGTTTGCAAGCTCCAAAATTCTGACAGGCCGGGACACGATGACGTCACTCTCGCACATGCGTGTGGGAGTCCTGGGCCACGACACACAGCTCTGAAGGAACGGCACAGGTATGTGCCAGATTAAATGAAGAGAGAATATTCCCTAAATGGTGCACGTTGAGAAGATATTCATTTTACCTTTCCAATTATTATGAATCCTGACCCTGTGATTACCATGACGGCTATGACACAGTGATCACATGGGTTTATTTACAAACAAACCTTCTAATTTATGCTGTCACAGTGCCTAGCACATAGAGGGGCACTGTGACAGCTAAAGCCAGCACAGTGCACTTGTTAAAGGGCAGAATTGTGTTAAAAAGGTAAATAATATATTAATTGTATTTACTTATAGGTAAAATTAAAAAGAGTTTACAATCACTTTAACTTTAGTATTTTTTTTTACTGAAATTTTGTGTTTCATAAACCATCACTGTAATATCGTGTGACATACAAAATTAGAACTACCCCTTTTTAATTCTCTAGGGTGTCTGCTTTCAGAATAAGTCTCCATGCACACGGGGCGTTTTAATAACGCTGGTAACGTTAGCTGTGTAAAGTCATGTTAAAAAAATGTTTTTTTTTTGTATTTCAATGATTTTTTAATAACTTATTTAAACAATTTAACAAAGGAAAATTAGAGCAAAAGACACGCCACCCGCGTTAAAAATGTTTTTTAGCAGGTTTTTTTTACAAAAAAAATTTTTATTTGCTAAAAAAAGTCCAAAAATGCTGGTTTGCTGCGTTTTACCATGTTTCAACTGCATTTTGATGCGTTTTTCAGCATTAGAGCATTTTTACAGCTAATTAACTCCTCTAGAACAGTCTTTCTCAACCAGGGTGCCCAGGGGTGCCTTGAGGTTTCTTCAGGGGTGCCTTGGCAAAATGTCTAGAACTTGCCCAATACTTGTATACAAGCCAGCGGGTGGAACAAGCCTGCCTTTTAGTTGCACAAAGCCACAGGTTTTCATTGTGCACCATTATGACCTTGTAGCCGCTGGTGTCCTGACAACCAATGACATCATCAGCTCCCTGCATGGCATCCTAGCTTGACCCTCCCCTGCCCCTCTCCATCAGTACTGGGGTCACATCAGCTCAGTGATGGAGAAAAACTGAGGGAGAAGAGAAACAATGGAATACTAGTCAGTACCAGTGTGCAAAAGTGTATTTGCTTTGGAAGAATAATTCACCTCTAATGTTGGGTGTCCTACGTGTGTGGCTATTGCTGCATTATATAAAACAATTAGAATAGTTTTTAACATTTTAGAATGGGATACCTCAAGACTGCCCATTATTTTAAAGGGTGCCTTGACTGAAAAAAGATTGAGGAAACACTGCTCTAGAAACCCAGTAGTTTGGGTTTTTTTTTCCAGCCAAAAAATGCTGATTTGTACATGGACACATAGGATAACATGCTGGGGATGGATACATAGGATAACATGCTGGGGATGGACACATAGGATAACATGCTGGGAATGGACACACAGGATAACATGCCGGGGATGGACACACACAGGAAAACATGCCGGGGATGGACACATAGGATAACATGCTGGGGATGGACACATAGGATAACATGCTGGGGATGGACACATAGGAGAACACGCCGGGGATGGACACATAGGAGAACACGCCGGGGATGGACACACACAGGATAACATGCTGGGGATGGACACATAGGATAACATGCCGGGGATGGACACATAGGATAACATGCCGGGGATGGACACATAGGATAACATGCCGGGGATGGACACATAGGATAACATGCCGGGGATGGACACATAGGATAACATGCCGGGGATAACACATAGGATAACATGCCGGGGATAACACATAGGAGAACATGCCGGGGATGGACACATAGGAGAACACGCCGGGGATGGACACACACAGGATAACATGCTGGGGATGGACACATAGGATAACATGCCGGGGATGGACACATAGGAGAACACGCCGGGGATGGACACACACAGGATAACATGCTGGGGATAACACATAGGATAACATGCCGGGGATGGACACACAGGATAACATGCCGGGGATGGACACATAGGATAACATGCCGGGGATGGACACACATAGGAGAACACATGCCGGGGATGGACACACAGGATAACATGCCGGGGATGGACACATGGAGAACACGCTGGGGATGGACACATAGGATAACATGCTGGGGATGGACACACAGGATAACATGCCGGGGATGGACACACACAGGATAACATGCCGGGGATGGACACATAGGATAACATGCCGGGGATGGACACATAAGATAACATGCTGGGGATGGACACATAGGACATGCCGGGGATGGACACACACAGGATAACATGCCGGGGATGGACACATAGGATAACATGCCGGGGATGGACACACAGGATAACATGCCGGGGATGGACACATAGGATAACATGCCGGGGATGGACACATAAGGATAACATGCCGGGGATGGACACACAGGATAACATGCCGGGGATGGACACATAGGACATGCCGGGGATGGACACATAGGATAACATGCCGGGGATGGACACATAGGATAACATGCCGGGGATGGACACATAGGATAACATGCCGGGGATGGACACGTAGGACACACAGGATAGGATAACATGCCGGGGATGGACACATAGGATAAACATGCCGGGGATGGACACATAGGATAACATGCCGGGGATGGACACATAGGATAACATGCCGGGGATGGACACACTGTAGGATAACATGCCGGGGATGGACACGTAGGATAACATGCCGGGGATGGACACATAGGATAACATGCCGGGGATGGACACATAGGATAACATGCCGGGGATGGACACATAGGATAACATGCCGGGGATGGACACGTAGGATAACATGCCGGGGGACACGTAGGATAACATGCCGGGGATGGACACATAGGATAACATGCTGGGGGGTTTACTACTGGCTGTAGAAAAAATGCCAAAAGCCAAAAACAGCCGCTGTAAAAATGTCCGGCGTGCATGAGGACTAATATATCATGTTTTAGGGGTTTTATGTAATCTTCAGGCCTAAAATGATTTTATCTGTAAGCAAAAACCACAAAAACAGCTCAGGCAGTGAAAGTGAAACGTGTGTGAAAAAAAAAAAAAAAATCGCCGCAATCAACAAGTGGTTAAATAATTCTGATCTGTTAAAAAACTACACTGTAAAAAGATTTCCTTTGGCTTCTACGGATCCATGAATAGGTGGAAAGCCCCCCATTCTTTCTGCCCTGGTACAGATGACACATGTACCTTGTAACGCACGTCCCCCTCCAGGGGGGTTGTTTTATTAAGCCTGCAGGGCCTGCCTGTCCTGTGAACAGAGCTTCACCTTTTCATTCGGGCTGACGGCCCTCCTGAAGAATGCGCGAGTCACACAAATCTGCATGATTCAGTTTAGCTAAATCCGGCTCCAAGGCTTATAAAAGCCATTTTATTTGCAGCGTACAACGTGCTAACACCGTGCACCCCCCCCCCCCTCTGCTCTGTGTACCCTGACAGACCCCTTATTCAGCCCGAGCCGGAGATCAGTGTATATGATTCAGCCCAGGGTGACAAAGCAGCTGACTTTCACTGCACATTTGCTAGCTGGTTAATAATACATCTTGACTAAGACACATGTCATCCAGAGGCTGAGTGACATCTGCTACGGGAAAAGTGCCCGAGCAACCGCTTCCAGAATCCCCTCCATAATAAAAAAAATAAACTGTGATACATGATCTTATTCCAGTCATCAGTACACATTCACACATATAAGAAGAATGCTTCATTGAACTTTAATTTAATGTACGAGGGGCGTTCAATTTAAACCTGGACTTTCCATTTTACAGGTATAGAAAGGGATGCTAGCGTGGCGGCACTACACGAAATAGTAAGTGGCAAGTGTGTCCTATTACTGATAGGTGGCGCCAGGGGTGGACTGACCATTTGGAAACTCAGGCACTGCCCGAGGGCCCGGGGTCAGTAGGGGGCCCCATGAGATGCCCCTGGTACCTTTTTCATAGGCTTTTTTGAGTTTGGGCAAGGACACAGGGGCCCCATGATCCCCTATTGCCCGGGGGCCCCATGAGTTTTCAGTCCGCCCCTGATCTAAAGCCTACATTTTGGTTTTGTTTTGGATAGAGCAGTTTTTGTGTTTTTTTGCTGTCTGTGTTCCATTAGGTACATTTTTTCTTCCATTCCTGACTTGGAGACACAACAGGAAGTGAGAGAAAATCTTTTGGAAGTAAGAGAAATCCTCTCTTATGCCTAATTGTTCCTGGATTGGCGCACAAGTAGCGCACAAGTCGCGGGCCAGTCCAGAGACTGTTAACCTCCCTAGCGGTCTGATTATGTATTATTACTGTGCTCAAAGCGGTACATTAATTTGCATGGAAATATGTTGTTTTTTTTATTGTAGGCCTGTAATTCATAGGAATAAACTACTGAAATCTGTCTGAACAAGAGTCTAGTAAACATCCCGGGTAGGATAAAATTTTAAACACGAAATCATAAATTATAATATAATAAATAATCAAAAAAATAATAATAATATAATAATAAATTTAAATTCAATAATATAATCAAACCAAAAACACTGAAGTTTCGCACATCACTGAGCTTAGTCGCAAAATCGTTTTCAGTGTCTGATGACGGAATTTCCCCCACGAATCATTATCACTCAATTCTGCAAGTGGTTCTGATTTACTATCGCTGTTCTCTAGCCGGCCTAAAACCGATTTTGACCTAAAGGGACGCTTTTTGGATGCCATGGACGTTTCTCAGTTTCCAGGCAGAAAGAACAGTAAAAATGCAGGCAGGGCACAGGACAAAGCACTCGGGACAAAATGTATGTGAAATGGTTTGATACAGTAATGTTTTACTATGTAATTTTAGTGTATTTAGTGAATGTCACTTTTAAAATTTTACAATTTCCCGCCGGTTCTGTCCCCCGTATGTCCCGTATGTCCCGGAGCTCGCATGGAACGGGACCCGGAAGACGGATGCCGGCATCGGCCGGAGGAGATGGCCTGGGACGCTGCAGGGGGGACATCGCAGGAGCGAAGGACAAGGGAAGTGCTGGAGGGATCCCAGAGCAAAGCTGCAGTGTAATCCCAAGTGTAGCTCGGGGTTACCACTTCTGGTACTGAAAGATAACCCCGAGCTACACTCAGGAATACCGCCAGGGGGGTTAATCAAGATGGCAGACAACAGTGTTAGTGCGTTCATGGAACAGCGTGTGGTGATGAAGGCGTAAAACCTGCGAATAGCTACAGAAGACTTCAAGCACAGTACGGTGATGAAAGTAAAAACACATACAAGAGGGCACAGAATCCTCATGCATTACTTTCATAAAATGTACTCAAATGCCAAGAGACAAAAACATACTCACAAACGCATGAATACAGCGGGCATATATGAAAATGCAGCCTTAAAGCGGAGTTCCACTCATCCTGTCAAAAAATAAAAGTCAGCAGCTACAAAAACTGTAGCTGCTGACTTTTAACCTCCCTGGCGGTATAATCCGAGTGTAGCTCGGGGTAAAATTTCTATACCAAAAGCGGTAACCCCGAGCTACACTCGGGCTTACCATGCAGCACTGCATAGGGAGTCCCTGCAGCACTTACCTTGTCCTTCGCTCCCGCGATGTGTCCCCTGCAGCGTTCCCGGCCATCTCCTCCGTCTGATGTCGGCATCCGACTCCTGTGTTCCGGTTCCCGTGACATCGGGACGTACGGGCGCCGCCGCCGCCGGCGGCGGGAAATTTGAAAATTTAAAAAAAATTTCATTTTTTTCAAAATGATTCTAAATAGTAAAACCATGCTGTTTCAACCTATTTCACATACATTTTGTCCCGAGTGCTTTGTCCTGTCCCCTGTCTGCATTTTGATTGTTCTTTCTGCCTGGAAACGTAGAAAAGTCCATGGCGTCCAAAAAGCGTCCCTTTAGGTCAAAAGCGGTTTTAGATCAGCTAGAGAACAGCGATAGTAAATCAGGACCACTTGCAGAATTGAGTGATAATGATTCGTGGGGGAAATTCGTCATCAGACATTGAAAACAATTTTGCGACTTTGCTCAGTGATGTGAGAACTTGGCGCTCTATTTCAAATTTCAGTGTTTTTGGTTTGATTATATTATTGAATTAAATGTATGATTTAGAATCTTGTTCAGACAGATTTCAGTGAGTTATTCCTAAAAAAATTACAGCCTACAATAAAAAAAAAATTAAATTCTACATATTTCCATGCAAAATAATGGTACCAAAATAATGGTACACTCAGCACCAAAAATCGGAAAGAATCATACCGCCAGGGAGGTTAAATAACACCACTTACCTGTCCCTTGGTCCCATGGTGTGTCCCCCGCAGCCCATTTCACAAGCCGTCCTGTATTCCAGGCACCGGCATCTTCAGTGTGGGCACCCGGCTGTGACAGCTTGCGGCTTCACAGCCGGGTACCCAAATGCACATGCGCGAGTAGTGCTGCGCTTCATGAATGGTCCTGTAGTCTTCTGGGACCTGTCACGTGTCCCAAAAGACAACAAGGAGGGAGGACACCTCCCGCTTCCGATCGCCTAAGCGGAAGTGGGAGTGGGTACCTGTCAAATTCGGGTACCCGCTACCCCCCCCCCCCCCCCCAAAGGTGCCAATTCTTAATGAGGAGCAGGGGAGCAGTCCTTAAAGTGGAACTTCCCCTTTTGGATGGAGCTCCGCTTTAAAGGTCCATTCAGTCTGGGAACCGTCTGGTAGGTAAAGCTAACACGTTTCGGGAGTCAAGCTCCCTTCCTCAGAGCTGAACCTGACAAGTGTCC